CTGCCCCTGGGGCCCGGAGAGACTTCCCCTGGAGTCCAGAGAGCCTGCCCCTGGGGCCCGGAGAGCCTGCCCCTGGGGCCCGGAGAGCCTGCTCCTGGAACCCGGAGAACCTACTCCTGGAACCTGGAGAGACTGCCCCTGGAACCCGGAGACAGCCCTGGGGCCACACCATGAAATGGACATTTAGCCTGATGACTGAGGAAAGGATGGCCAGCCCTCAAAGCCCGCCGGGGGTCCGAGCAGCACAGAGCACGTTGGGGATGGTATCCCAGGCCCTGGAGGGCAGGCCACTCCTGGAGAGACAAGAGGCACTCGGGATGGGGCCAGGGGCACTGTCCTGGGCCAGTGGACCTGTGTGTGGGCGCGGAGGCGCTGGGTCTGCCAGATCTCCTGCTGCCACAGTGCCCCTTTGGGCAGAGGGAGCTGGGGGGAGAAGGGGTGTCTGCTGAGCTTCTTGCTTACAGGTCAAGGCCCAACCCAGGTGTGGGTGAAGTGGCCCCTCTCACCTGTGTCCATGTCCCGCAAGGCCACCAGGACGCGGACCCCACCACGCAGGATGAAGCTGATCCTCTGGGCCTTCAGCACCTGCTGGATGGCCAGGACCCTCTGAAAGCAGAGAGGGGGCTGAGCAGGGTCCCTGGAGCCACAGGCGGGGTTGGTGGGCAGGGGTCGGGGCTGGTGGGTAGGCCAGTCTGGCTCAGTGCCCTGGTCGGTGCTGGGTGCTGTCAGGCTGATTCCAGGGTTTCTAGACTGCAGTTTCACAGGAGTGACCACCAGGCCTTTCTTCTGCGGTGCCTCGGGGATGGGGCATAGCCAGCCCTCCAGCTAGCAGCTCAGCCCCCACGGCTTCATCATGTGATTCCAGCACACTCTACATGTGCAGTGGGCACCATCCATCACCAAAGGCCTCCACATCGAAATGTGGTCTCGCTCTGGAACGTAACTGGTTTTAACACACTGTTGAATAATCACACTCACAAACGACTGTCTGCAGCCCCACCGATTACACTGTGATATAAGAGGCCCTCTGTAATGTCCTTTAACGTCATGTAATTCGGGTGATGGGATGTGATCCCCCTCTATAGCGCAATGTCGTGGAACATGCTTCCTCGTCGGCATTGAAAGCTGGACGCTGACAGGGGAGGATGAGGAATGGACGCATTTGAACTGTGGTGCTGCAGAGGCATCCTGGACGGGCCCTGGATGGCGGAGGGCAGACTCGTCTATGTTGGAAGAAGTAAGCCAGAGATGGCAGACTTCGGCTCGAGTGTGTTGGGCACGTTGTCAAGAGAGACCGTCCCTGGAGAAGGACGTCGTGTTTGGTAAAGGGAGGGGCGGCGAGAGAGGGGGTCCTTCAGGAGATGGACTGGTACGGTGGCTACAGAACGACTGGGGGACGGAGCAGGATGGGGCAGTATTTCCACATGCTGTGCACGGAGTCACCAAGGGTCAGACCGACTGGATGACCCCTAACCATGTGGTGTAATGCAGGGTAATCACATTCCATAACAGGAGTGGAACCGCACGATCAGACAAGGTTGTGTAATGGCCCTTCGTAATTGAAGGCTCTCACACAGCACTTTGCTGTAACGTTACCAAACCTCCCTCCATATGACGTCATGCAATGTGGTCACCCTCCCAGTGTAATGCAATGCGATCACCCATCCCAGTGTAATGTAATGCGATCACCCACCCGAGTGTAATGCAATGCGATCACCCACCCCAGTGGAATGCAATGCGATCACCCATCCCAGTGTAGTTCAATGTGATCACCCATCCCAGTGTAGTACAATGCGATCTCTCTCAATCACATAATTAACACAATGTGATATCTCTCAATCACATAATTAATACAATGTGATCACCCACCCCAGTGTAATGCAATGCAATCACCCATCCCAGTGTAGTTCAATGTGATCACCCATCCCAGTGTAGTACAATGCGATCTCTCTCAATCACATAATTAATACAATGTGATATCTCTCAATCACATAATTAATATAATGTGATCTCTCACAATCACATAATTAATACAATGTGATCACCCATCCCAGTGTAATGCAATGTGATCACCCATCCCAGTGTAGTACAATGCGATCTCTCTCAATCACATAATTAACACAATGTGATATCTCTCAATCACATAATTAACACAATGTGATCACCCATCCCAGTGTAATGCAATGTGATCACCCATCCCAGTGTAGTACAATGCGATCTCTCTCAATCACATAATTAATACAATGTGATCTCTCACAATCACATAATTAATACAATGTGATCAGCCATCCCAGTGCAATGCAATGTGATCTCTCTCAATCACATAATGGGTGCTCAATCACGATGCTGGGTGCTGGTGCTGGGTGTGTACCAGTCTGGCTGTGATCTGCACAGTGGGCAGTTTGAAGCCACCAGCCACTGGGCGGGACTGGATGTTCCCTCCTGTCAGCAGTTACAGTCTCGGGAACCCACAGGGTCGCTGGGTCCCACGGGATGCCGTGTGTCTGGGCTTTTTAGTAATTGAGTGTAAGGTCGTGAACTCCCATAACCAGAAACAACATAACCCGACATAAAGCTATGAAGCGTAGTGGACTGTATCACTTCCCATAATGCAATGCGATCAATCAGCAGCCTGCAGAGCAGAGGCGCTCCCTAGGGCCGTCTGCCCGCAGACGATGGATTGGTATTTGGGAAAAGCTCCTTGCTCCTCTCTGGGATGAGGCGTGTGATCGTGAGCCAGCCCTCTGTATGCACATGGAGACTCGTGTCTGGCTGGGGCTGAGCCCCGGGTTGGCAGGGGCTGAACCCCCAGATTGGCGGGGGCTGAGCCCCTGAGGCCTGAGGACAGCTGTGAGAGCCACTACCTTGTCGTCCGTGAGACTCCTCTTCCTGGTGGACCGAGGAGGGGGCAGGAGCACATACAGGTCGGCCACGGTGGGCAGCCCGGGCTTCACTACGGTCACCAGCAGCTCCTCGGGGACACTGGTCTCCTGTGGGACCCAGGCACATGGGTCAGGCTAGATGCCACCTGTCCTTGTCACACTGTGACCTCAGCTACACCCACCCTGCACTCAGCTGTCCTTGTCCAGTCCCCTGGGGGACAAGCCTCCCTGAGCCTTCACACCCAGGAGATGGGCCCCAAGATCCTGCTGCCTAGGCAGGTCCCCTTTACCTCCTGCCTGGGCCCCCTTACACTGTGGCAACAGGCAGCAGGTCCCAAGGTGACAGGCTAAGTCAAGGCTCGGCCCTGTGGTCCTGTTGCCCCCGGCCCCTCCCAAGTCCCCTGACGCAGGCCAGACCGGCACCATAGCTGACAATGGCTCTGCTTGTCCCTCTTGGGCCTGAAAGCCCTGCCCCCCACCCTCACCCAACAAGCTTCTACCCCTCCTTCAATACCCAACACACCAGCACCCACCACTGGCCTCATGCAGTGGGGGCCTAGGATGCTCTCTGGGGGTGGGCTTTCTCTCCTGGAGCACCCAGGGCCTTGGGTCTCTGCAGCCCACCTGCCACCCTGCCCAGGGCTGCTCCTCACATTCTGCTGGGCAGTTGCTCGGACAGTCACCCCATGGCCCATGGCCAGGCTGGGAGGCCACTCAGTAAAGGGCTCGAAGCTCAAGCCCTCTGCAGGCCCCAGGGACTGTGGTCTGTGGGGGCCTGCGGGGTGGGGTCCCCACCCTGCTGGGAAGACAACACTCAGCTCTGATTCCCTGGGTGCCATCCAGGTGGTCAGCGGTGACAGACTGCCCCCCCCCAGGGCAGCCCTTGGGCACCTTAGACACGAGCCGGGTGACCCCCAGGCCGACGTCCTCCCTCCACTCCGGGATGTTGGGGTTGTGGGCATCCAGGTCCTTGGAAAACCTCAGGGGCACCACCTGGAACTGGTCTGGGAGGAAGCAGAGATGGCAGTCAGCCTGGTGTGGCTCTGTGGGGGCCTGGTGGGGGAAGTGTAGTGGACTGTAATCACTTCTACCGCTTCAGAGCCCCTGGCCCCCAACCCATCATCTTCTCCAGCAGCTCACAGCCCCCCACTGTGGACCTGGCGGCTTGGGGCAGTGCCCGGCAGGCCCTCTGCCCATCTGCCAGCGAGGATGCTGGTGGCTCGGACCATCAAAAGTCCAGTGAGAGCACGGTGAGGGGACAGTGCCAGCCATGCTGACCGTCCACCATCTCTGAGACAAGCTTCCTGGGCTCCTGAGGGCTGCCCAGGCTGGTCCCCCGAGCAGATGCGGAGCCCAGTGACCACAGAGGGCCTGTCCTCCTTCCCTCCCTCCCATTATATCTCTGAGCAGCGGACAGTGGGCACCCCTCCCCTCCTTCCCCCTGCGCCCCCTGCTCTCAGTGTGTAATGGGGGAGCCTGCTGGCCTCGGAACTCCAGGGGCACGGACTTACCCAGCACGCGGATCACCCTGGAGTCCTGCAGCACAGAGCTGCCACAGGCGGCCTGCACTGTCACCCGAACATCCCCTGCCTCTGCAAACCGCGTGGTCACCGAGCTCTCCAGGGACAGCAGGGGCTGGGGGTGGGAGGCACAGACAGGTCAAGGCCTGAGGGACAGTGGGGGACAGGTGGGGGCTGGGGACATGGAAGAGTCAGGGCCCCAGGGGATGGGTGAGGGAAGGCTGGGACCCAGGGAGCATGAGAACACCCCCAGAGACACCCCACTTCTCAGCTAAAATGGGGATTCACTTGGTGACCCCAGCATGGTGTAGGCCTCCCAGCGCCCCGCCCCAGGACACTAGCACCTGCTATGTGGCCTCTCCGGAGCCTGCTGCGGGGGTCAGTGTGACCCCTGCAGGTGTGAACCCCAGTGCCATCCTTGGTGCCTGGCGTTCAGCTCAGGTGGGCACACTGTGAGAGTGGGGACAGGTGTTGTGGGAGGCAGCATCTCCTGGGGAGCAGGAAGGCGCCACAGCAGATAGGACCAGGTGCCAGGGCCGTGAGGGGACCCCAAAGCGCTCAGTGGGACCTGGCTGGGTTGAGTCTGGGTCCCAGAGGGCAGGCCTTTCCTCCCTGTTCTAGGGAGGCTCAGCCAGGGCTGCGATCTATTGCTCTCTCCTCAGGCTGGGTGGGGTCTGTCGCCCCACCCTGCCAAGCCCTTGGAGGCCCTCCGTCTTGTGACTCAGGCACTCACCTGCTCAAGAACCGTCCAAGCATCCCCACTGCTCACAGGGTCCAAGTCTCTGAACAGGCCCTCTGAGACCAGCCCCAGAGGCTCCCCCACCGCCAAATGGCCCTCCCCTGACACCCCCTGTAATGGCTCCCAGACACCTCTTCTGCCCACTCCCAGGATACCCGTCCTAACTGAGAAGAAGGGGGTCCAAGGGGGTCTGGCCAGATCCCCCAGTGTCTACTGTGCTCGGCCAGCATGGGCCCGAGTGAGGGAGAGTGGGGCTCCTGAGCCATCTGACAGGTGGGCCCACAGTATCCTCCCTGCACCGAGGGGTGAGGGCTGAGGGGGCACAGCCAGCACACCTGCAGGCTATGTCCGATCCACCAGTAGAAGACGGTGAGGTTTGGATTCAGAGGCAACAGCACGGCCGTGAGGGTCACCTCCTCGTTGATGCCAATGGCGGGGACCACCTCCAGGTAGAGGGCTTGTAGGGGGGCTGCAGGGACCAGTAACAGGCTGGCGGTCAGCAGGCATAGAGACACGGGGCACTTCAGAGGCTTCTTATTGATCAGTGACCCCACCAACTTCACTGCCACCCCCCCATCACCTCTACCACCTGCACCCACTCCACTATCACCACCTCCTATCGTCACCACGACACCCCACCAACCACACCACCCCATCACTGTCACTATCACCACCTCCACCATCATCATGGTTAT